ATATAGCATAATCCTAAGAATATTCTCATTGGCTTATAGGCAGGTTCTTAGAAGGTGCAAAGTTTAGTGGTAAAAATTAATCCACTCTAAACATATGCTTAGAATGTTGAGAAAGTAATTGCTATAGAAAGTTCATTTAGGAATATTCCTATTCAGTTCAGTTAGGTATTAAATACTAAGTAAAAAACACAACCCAAAATATTTTTTTATAGTTATTTGTCAAATTAAAACAATATTCGATAACAAAAATACTTTTACTATAGGTATCTAAATTATCCGGCTTTTACATACAATCTTCTATCCAACTTAAATACAATAAAAAAGAACTATTTGGTTTTTTATTTTATGAAGAATTATTTTATAAGGAAATATTTTGTTTTTTATATTATATTTTATGTTAAAAATAATTATTTATTAATTTGTATACCGATTTTTTATTTCTGAATTAACATTTTTATGTATAATAATCCTAACTATCTTCAACTTCAATCTAATCTGACTTATCCCACAAAATTTTCCAATTTTACTTTTTATGAAATTCTGTCATACAACTTATGGTTTAGTGGTCAAATTGTTTATTTAATATTTTTAGATAAATATATATTAATATGTCGCAAAATTTTTTAAGGGGACGACAAATACATTTCACTGTCATATTATGACAGTGAGGCGTATTTGTCGCCTCCTGAAGAATTTTACGAATGTAGAATCCAACATATTAGAACGTGGGTATCTGACATATTTGGAAATATTCTCAAAAGCTTCCTAGAAGCTCCATAAGAAACCTTCTAAGAACATTCCAAAAACGTATTCTTAAAATGTTCTTAGAATGCTTTTTAGGAAGGTTTTAAGAAGCTTCTAAGAATCTAATTGCTTCATTAAAAGGGTATCTATTGAATGTTTTAAAAGTCCCTAAGAACATTCTTAGCAATAACGGAAGGTTCTAAGAATATTCCATTATTCCGGGTCATATCTTCTTAGAAGATTCTTAGAATCAAATTTTGCTATCAGGGTTCTTTATAAAGTACATTTTTATACAAATACGTTATCAAAATGAAGGTGACGCCTGCGTCACTTCTAAATTTTTGACGGAACCGTGAAGATTTTTCGTTATAAAGTAACTTTTTAAATAGATACTTCATAGAAAATTTGTGACGTTTGCAGTGCACTTTATTCGTGACGTTCTCGTGTTTTTAGGAACGAGATCTCTCGAGAGAGGGTTTCTTTATCTCTGTCAGATTCTCTGGTCAGCCATTTTCATTGTCGTTGTTTTGTAGAGACGCTGCCCCACACACGTGCTGCGTTTTTGTTGTTTTTATTGTTATCATTTGTTCTTATTCAATGGTTTATAGATAAGGTGAGTTTAATTTAAATTGTTTTAATTACTTTGGCTTGCAATTTTGCTAAAATTCCTATTAGTTCAGTAATTGTATTCTTTTCGGTATATATTTGTTGCAATATATTGATGACGTTGTTTTCAATAATTTATATATCGTACCTTCATTTGCAAGCTATACATAGGGAAAATACATTGTAGGTGGAACAGACAAGTCGAAGTCGCGCCGGTCAGCGCGAAACGAAAATGTTCCCAGAAATTATTTTGACGAGTGGATGAGTAGACATGCGACGTAACAGGTGATCGACTTTGTTTACTGGTTTAGTTTTTGTGTCTGTGGTCTGTGGTGATTATTCTATACATAGAATATTTTTGTATACCCACAAAAATGGGTCTTTGAACTTTAGTACATCTACGTTTGTAATTAAATGTACATTTTTTATTAATAAATAATTAATAATTAATTAATAAATGTGTCTTATTTAGCAAAGGAAATTAATTTATGTAATTTGGTTATTATTATTTACTGTAAATGCATACTTATATTAGATTTAATCGGTTATTGACCATGGTGGGTCAATAATGAAAGCTAAATTTCTGTAAAAAAACTTTAAAGAAATTTAGCTTTCATTATTGAGCGACCATGGACAGGAAGTGATTAAATTTAATAAGTATGCATTGACAGTAAATAATAATCGTCACTAATTCGTCACAAAACTGCAAAGCAGATTCTACCACGGATTTAGTGTCAAATTCGTCACATTATTGTGATAAAAAACATAAAGAAATTGTCACGACTTGTAGGCACGCCACTGTATCAGTCACAGTATCTATAAATTTTCGGGATCACGTTGAGCTCACGACAAGTAGAAATCGTAACAAATTTTGCAACGATTTCTTCACGAGGTGTTACTTGGGCCTCTACGGAGATACGGGCCTTAACGCGGACGCCCCTGAAAATACATACGTATGTTTTTAAATAACATTTGAACTACTAGGTGGAATTTAATATTTTTTTAATATATAATATGTTGGTTACTTACTAGGAAAGTTTTTTTTTAAATGGGCACTTTTAATCACATTCGGCTTATTTAGTTTGCCAGCTCTAACATAGTAATGCTATTTTTTTAACCCCCTTTAGTATAAGGGCACAACAATAATATTTTTGGTCAGCTTAAACCTTAAACTAAAAAAAGGTACTCTTGATCGACATCGATAAAATGTACTTTTTACGAAAAAAAAAATCTTTTTGTACAATAATGTTTTTTGCATTCATTTTTATCTTTTTTGCAATGTTTTTTACCTTTACCGATTTAAATAATGAAGTCAGTCAAATTGAAATTTTTTATCTTTTTTCTTCTTTTCAGCGGCGTCCGTTAGGGGCCAGTATCTCCGTAGAGGGGGCTGTAAAAAAATTATAGGAAATTGTCATATTATTTTTATGGGTTCTATCTAAATCCGGGTGATTGCCCACATATTCTGGGACACCCTTTATTTATATAAGGAATATATTCCTATACATAGTTTGTTTTTAGAAGTTTCTGGATTTTGTTTTTACTTTTTCTGGAAAAAGCAAAATCATGATATTTCAGGTTTAAAAAATGTTGGCAACGATTCTGGAGCTATTGCTAATCTAAAAACGGTTGTTATATCAACCTTTTTTTAGATTTGCAATAATTTCCAGTTTCTAAAATACACAGTTTTCATATATGGAAATAAGACAAACAAGGCATCTGCAGCTAGCTAAAGTGATAGTTTTCTATATTTTGATTCACAAGCCTAGCGAGAACATACAAAGAAGCATTCTTTATTGACACAAAATCGTAAAGAAAATATTAAAGTACTTTTCTTTACGATTTCTTCTCAATTAATCATAGTTTTATGGTTAGCAAAACTTTTATCAAGCAAATCCAGTTGACTCTGGTAAATCTTAAAAATTATAATTTTTTTCATTTTCATATATGAAGAAAAATACTAGTTTTAAGGTTAGAACGTCTATCTGACGGGAGTCAGACCAGACTTGGTCTGAGGACATAAACATTCTAATTTGTGGTATCGGATTGTCCATCTGTTAGATTTTATGGTAGAATACGAAAGGCGACTATAATGTTATGATGATTTTTATTTTATTAATTAATTCTTTTCCATTAAGAATACGAGAAAACACCTTGTTCAATGCGTGAATTTTCTATCTCGTGGGAATCTAATTCACTCGCTATGGAAAATCAAAATATTTCCACTTAATAGAAAAATATATCACTTTTCTTCACTTATAGAACAATCCAAAGGGTGTTTTCCCTATTGAAAATGCCATATAGAACCCATATTGAATCCGATAAGGAAACGTATCTGGTTCTATATGGTTTTATAGGTCCTATATGGAAAGTCCTGGTTTACATTATTGTATGTTTATGTTTACATTTACGTATACGGATTCTATATGGTTGAATATGGATTTCCATTTTAAAAATTTTCATATTCAACCATATAGGGAAACCTATCTGGAAATACATATAGAACAGAAACCAGATAAATCCATATACATGTCTTTATAAAGACATGTATATGGATGTATATGGATTTATCTGGTTTCTGTTCTATATGTATTTCCAGATAGGTTTCCCTATCTGGTTCTATAGTGTTTTAGAGTGTTTTTATCTGGTTTTATAATGTAATCTTCTATCTGGTTCTATAGTGAAATGCCTGTTTCAAATACCTATATTGAACCAGATAGAAACCATATAAAATCCAGATACGTGTTTTTTATATGGTTCTATATGGCATTTTCAATAGGGTTTTTAAGAATGATAGAACTTCTGATCGCATTGCAATTGCTTTGGAATCAACTGTCATTTTGCGCGATATTATAATGCTATTATGCTATCATTCTGATTAGACTTGAACAAAGTTATCAAATTATTAAAATTTACTTTGAAAGTCATTCCTTAATTCGCAAAACACATATACGACTTCGTGAATGCAAAATATTAAAACAAACAAAAAATTATTTGTATTATTTTAATAAAAATTATATCAAAAAATAAATATATAAATAATAAGCAGTCTTAGAAATTAAGGTAGGTAACAGTAGCTTTACAAAGTCAAAATAAGTTTTTTTAGTTGACTTCTTTTTCAAAACCATGCTGCCATTTTTGGAGACCAAACTGATTAAAATCTGTATAAATGGCATTTCTCTTAAATATTTTTCGAAGCATTTCTGGGTGGACACCATCTATGTCATCTGAATGAAGAATATCTCCCCCAAAATCGTTGTTTTCCTCTCTGAATGCCGATCTCTTCACTATTCTTAGCATTTCTGGGTGGACAACATTTATGTCATCTGAATGAAAAATATCTTTACCAAAATCGTCGTTTTCTTCCCTGAATGCCCACCTCTTCACTATCCTATTTTCTGCGATATTTTCTTCCAAAGATCTCTTTGATATTCTTTCCATGGCTGGTAACAAAATACTTTCTTCTCTATAAATAGATTTGGCCGAAATGTCAACCACTAATAAACACATGAAAACTACAAAAAACTGCATTTTTAATATAACAATGCACTTGAGGCTTGAGGGTTTATGTGACAAATCATCTCAGTTCCTGCTTTTATATTTATAAACATTTTACGCAGATCAGATGTGCTAATTAAGTTATAACGTGTGTTTATATTAACAATAGCCCGTGAATGACATCTTTTTTTAATGAGACATCATAGAAATATTCAAAAGGTAAATAAATGCAATAATATAATTCCAATATTAATATATTTTTTAGCATGTACAGGTATCAAGTAATTCAATGTGCGCGAGAAATTCCTGAAAGGTTTTTTCATCAGCTACTATGTTAACTTCATTGTAAAGTTCTTCCAAGTTTGTTAAATCATTTGAGTTTTTAAGTTCTTGCATTCTTTTTTCTACCTTTGATGATCTTAACTCTTCTGAGGCTTGGAGTAAATCTTCCATGGGATTACTTACGAAAATATCTTCTTTTTTAGACAAATCTAAAGCCTTTAAATTTTCAATAATTTCCTCTAATGTATCATTCTTATTTTCTGTAATTTTATTTACTGCTTTTCCAAGTCGTTCAATGTATTCTTGTATTACACTGTCCTTTTCACTATTTTTTCTTATATTATTAAGTTTATCCAAAGTATTATTTAAAGACTTAAGCTTATAAGAACCACTTTCAAAAGATTCAACAATATTTTTTAACTGATCTTTGGATTTTTTTAAGCTTAAAGTGCTTGGTGGTGTGTCCTCTTTTTTACTGGAATAATATGGTGGGGATATAGGGGGTTGAACTGGGGGGCGATATTTATATGGGGCTTCGCCCTCAAGCTAAAAAAAATGGTGAATGTGGAACATTTATGTCAAATTGCATTTACTGTTTCCAAAATAATACTGTGCCCGTAAAAATTAACGCATAATAAGTAAAAAAATTCTAACTCTAAAACGCCTTTACGAATCTTTATGAAATTTTGTATAAAAATACTTTACTTATATCTCAGTTTACGTGTTTGAGGGTTTTTCGAGAAAATATTTTTAAAGCTATTTTATTTAATAATTAAAAAAACGTTCGAAAAATAACTTTATTTTTAAGTTCGAAAAATAAATTTATTTTTAAGTAAATAAAAAATATGCTGTTAAAAACAGTATTTTCGTTAGTATACCCTAAAAATTTTGTACAAATCAAACGAACAGTAACGAAGATACAGCGCTTCAAAGTCGGTAAAAATGACCCTTTATTATTTTGCTGAAAAGTGGTCATTTTTGACGACTTTGAAGCGCTGTATTTTCGTTATTGTTCGTTTGATTTGTAGGTACAAAGGGGTATACTAACAAAAATACGGTGTTTCACAACATATTTTTTATTTACTTAAAAATAAATTTCCCTATTAAACTTTTTTTTCAAGCATTTTTTATTATTAAATAAAAGAGCTTTAAGGATATTTTTATGAAAAACCCTTGAACACGTAAACTGAGTTGAAGTATTTTTATACAAAATTTTATAAAGATTGGTAAGGGCATTTTAGAGTTGAATTTTTTTTACTTGTTATGCGTTAATTTTGACGCGCAGTGTACAATGTAAAATATTTTTTTACCTGTAATGGATAAGTTGTATCAGAATCATATGCGCTAACATCCCCACATACCACAAAAGGTATAATAACACGATTAACCCCCTCTAAGCTTGAAAAATCCTTATTGGAAATATTTAAATAAGGAGTCATTAATTTAGGTTCAAAACCTTGGGGTGGATTGTACTTTTGACAAACCACAAAAGCCTCTAAAAAAAATTAATACAAACCTCATTTTTTGTATAACTATAAATCTTACCAATACTTGAATTCCTTGAACTACTAGGTTTAACAACAAACACTTCAGTAAATAAAGTTAGTAATTGATTTGTAAGCAAATCATTATCCTTCCCTCTAAATATTTTGGCCACAAAAGTACCCCCAACTTTTAAAACGTGACATGTTATGTGTAATGCCCCCAAAAGTAATTGTGCCTGTATATAAATATCCATACAATGCAAACCAGTAACTAAAACCCATAATTAATAAAACATCAATACAAAAAATATATTTTACCATCTGGAGCACCATCACAAACCACTAAATCAGCTTTCGTACCCTCAAAATGTCCAATTATCTCCTGTGCTGTTGAGTACTTAGTAATATCCCCCTGTAATTGTATAACCCCTGGTAAAGGTGACATAGGTTGCAAATCAACCGCAACAATCTTAACATTCTCATTTTTTAACTTTTTACTATCAACTTGACTTTCACCAACATTGTTTTTTTCAGCTATATCATCAGTATGAAACAAAGTACATTTTTCTGTAATATTAATTGTTTCTCCTAAATATAACTTTCTAGATAAAACTTGGCTCCAAGATCCCGGGGCTGCACACAAATCAACAGCTTTTGTAACGCCTATAACACAGTAAAAGTCATATTAGACTTTTAAATAAAGTGAGGTTGTTACCTTTGAAAATATCGAACTTTTCGTCGATTTGTAGCAATTTAAAGGCACTTCTCGCCCTCCACCCTTGCTCTTTGGCTTTCCTGTAGTAAATATCGCGTTTATCTTTTGAGGTCTTCCCCATTTTGCAAGAAAAATCGCAAAAACAATCTCAAAAAGATTAAGGTTACGGTATTTTGACAGATGTAAACACGTTTAATTTAGGGGATTTTGGGATTTTACTGTTGGCGGTAAAGATTGGCGGCAGTGTAACTGTCAAATTTGAAGCGTAAATTTGTTATATTCGGTGGATTAAAAAAACCGATACAGAAGTGTTTGCTCTTTAAAGGGCGTTTATTTTAGGGAAAGTAGGTAGTTAATACATAGAACAAACATGAATAATAGGAATAGTAACGTTATTTTAGTGGATAAATATGATAGAACACAGGTTAGTTTTATAATTTATAGTTTGTTGTGGAAATTATTGTTTTTGGTTGTTTTATAGGCAGGATATTTAGAAATTAACCATAAGAATTACCCGATTTATAAAGGAGTAAATACTATAGGAAGAAATAAAGATGCCATCGTTAATATTGCTAACTTGGTAAGTTAATATACTTTATACCATATGCCAGAACTTTATTAAATGTTTTTTTAGAACATAAGTACACATCACGCTATAATAACCATTGTTGATAGTGGGCAACACTACATAAGCGATATAAAATCATCCAATGGCACCAAATGCTCAAACACAAAATTAAAACCATTTAAATTGTATGAGTTGGTGGATAGAAATGAGATCATCTTTGGTAACCTTCATGGGGTATATAGAAAGGTGACACAACAAGATAACACAGTTTTAAGGCAAGAAGAAGCTATGGAAATGTCACAAAATTTCACTCAAAGTTTCTTTGGGTCGTGTACACAAATGTTGGCTGATGATACCAATGTAAACATAACAGTAGATCATAGTTACATAACCAAACCTAATGAAACACAAATGACCGAAACAGAGATTATGCCACCCCCAAAGCAAAAACCTAATACTCAAAAACTTGACTTAGATATTCATGAGGCTGCTACTCAGGCTTTAAATTATGTTGATTTAAGTGAAGAAGCAACTCAGGTTATGTTGCCTGATAGGAATATCAATGGGATTGTTCAGAGTGAAGATATTTTAGAAGATATTCATGAGGCTGCAACACAGGTTTTGCCAGATCCAAATGTTAATGGTATTGTTGAAACAGAGGATATACATAATGTAAGTTTTATAGCATTAAAATTACTATTTTTATGATTTATTTAACATTAAAGACATCATTTTAATGGTTTTAAATAATAAATTTAAAATTATTGCATAATACTCCAGAATTTTTTATTTCATATAGTCTTTTTTTATTAAAACCTGCTTTAATATTAATTTTTGCACTAGAGCAACTGTTTTTTAATAAAAAAATTATAAAATTTGTTTGACAAAACCAGGGAGCCACTGGATGTTATTGACCTATCCTAATAATACTTATATCATCCTTGTTTTTACCTCTAAAATAATGATATTATTCATCTAAACCAAAAAGAAACAGGTATGTGCCCAGTGTGTTATGTAATATCAAGCAAACTTTCAAACTTTTTTAAAATTGGTTAGTATGTACTTTGTTATAAGTTGACACATTAGAACAACTCCGCGAACTTGTCACTGCAGCGGCAGATGAAATCTGAAATCATCCACATCATAATTTTCTACGCCGCTGTCAACTTGTATTGTTTTATTCAAAGTACCTAAAAATAGCTGAGTTTGCAAAACAAAACACAATTATCAACAAAGTATTCAATGATAACACAAATGTAAATTTTTAATGAATGTAGATTATTGCCCACTGTGCAAACATATTTTGCGTCAGTTGTCATATTCCAGGAACAACCAGTGGCGGCCCAAAATTTCTACTTATAAAAATTTTAATGATTTTACTAATGCAAAAATGATAGAAGAAAAACTTTCTTATTTTGGCATGTACTATCATCCCTTTAAAGGATGACAACTTATTTGGTGACACCCTGTATATTTTTGAAATGCAATAAAAAATGTTAATGTTTTTATAAATAAGAATTTTTTATGATTGAAATTGTTACACTACCTATCTATGATCTATGATATTCTATACCTAACTATTTTTAAAATATTTTATAAATGAAAAATCATAAAAATTTTAATAAAAAAATAATATATATACAAGAGGGAAACATTTTTATTTTAGTTTTCTTGAAGGAAAGTCATACTTAATAAAAACTATTTGTTTAAAAAATGAGAAACCCATACAAAAATTTAAGATTTTATATCTTATTTTATATCTTTCACAAAATATAGAATTTAACGGAAAATGTATAGAAAACACAAAATAGGTAAATAAAATATAACAATACATTTAAAATATAACAAAACATATAAAATAAAATCCAACAAAACATATAATACACCTTTAACAAAACAAATATAATCAAACAAAACATATAAAACATAACGAAAAAAAAAATAAAATTCAACAACACATTTAATACACCTGTAACAAAACAAATAAAATCAAACAAAACATAATGAAAAAAATAAAATTCAACAAAACATAGAAAATCAAACAAAACATATAAAAGCCAACAAAATATTAAAACTCGGGTTCCTCACTTGACCGTTTGAGGGCGCTCGACGCACAAGTTTCAAAAAGACTAATATTGGGAGATTTTTTGCCAATGCAGTAAGTTTTTAAGGTTTTCTTTAAATCCGTTTACTTTTCATTTTTAATTTATATCTTAAATTGGAAACGATGGAGTTGAATCTGCCAAGGATGGATGAAGATACAACATTTTCTAGGGCTTTGATGCATGACTTCGCTGAAGGGGTTCTATTAGTCTTCTTGAAACTGTGCGTCGAGCGCCCTCAAACGGTCAAGTGAGGAACCCGAGTTTTAATATTTTGTTGGCTTTTATATGTTTTGTTTGATTTTCTATATTTTGTTGGATTTTATTTGTTTTATTATAGGTATATTATATGTTTTGTTGAATTTTATTTTTTTCGTTATGTTTTATGTTTTGTTTGATTTTATTTGTTTTGTAACAGGTGTATTATATGTTTGGTTGGATTTTATTTGTTTTTTTATAGGTATTTTATATGTTTTGTTATATTTTATATGTTCTGTTATATTTTATATACCTACATATTTTGTGTTTTCTATACATTTTCCGTTAAATTCTATATTTTGTGAGAGATATTATATTTATTTTCAACACTTCTATTTTGACACAAACGGCGCCTCAAACAAGAAAGAAGTACCTTTAATTTCAATTTTTTTAAAAAGTTGTTTGTAAATAACGACAAAAATTATGAAGTCGATTTTACTTTGATTTTTCCTAACTTTTAAACACTCTGTAGATAAAATCCCAAATTTTACTACGTGAATGGTAGTTTTTTAAAACATTTTATTAAAAACTATTTAAGCCCGCTGCACAACAGCCCGGTAACGGGAACGGGAAACTAAACGGTAAAGGTGGGAGAGACTCAGTGAACCCTATTTATCAACAGTGGTTTTTTAGTCTCTCCCACCTTTATTGTTAGGATTCCCGGTCCCGTTCCCGTTACCGGGCTATTGTGCAGCGGGCTTTACATCTAAAAATAAAAATGCCTCTTATCTTCTCTGAATAAACTTAATATTGGAAAAAAACAAGGAAAAATAGACTTCATAATTTCTCTCGTAATTTTTGTATCCAGACTACAAACAACTTTTTCCTATACAACTTTTCAAAATAATTAAAAATAAAGGTAATTTTCACTTGAATTAATTTCATGTTTTTCTAATTTTTAAACACACTGTAGATAAAATATTACATTTTTTTAATGGGCATTTCATTTTATAAACAAACAGGAGAGAAAACTAAATTAAAAATGTTTTTCCTCTTGTAACGTCAATCCGGGGATATACTGTATATATTATTATTCTTTACTTCCATAAGGCTGAAACCCAAATATTCCAATCTACACCATCAAAATCAGAAAAACCAAACCAGAATGAAGAAAACAAATTAGAAACTGCCAAAGAATCAAAACCAGAAACAATTGAACCTAAAACAAAAACAGATCCAAAACCACAAATTCCCATTGAAGAAAACTCAGAAACTCAAACACAAACAATGGACATGAACATCTCAAACCCTGCCGACAACCCGCCACATGATGACGACTTTTATTATGACGAATTTCAATATGACTTCCATACTAAAACACCAGTAGACGAACCAAAAGCTGAAGAAAATGGTACAAAAACTGAAGAGGAGTCAAAACCTAAAGAAAATTCACTTCTATTCGAAGAAAGCTTAATAGTAAATAAGAGGGAGTCCATCGGAGATTCGCTGTGCGAGGAAAGCATCAAAATAAGTAGAAGATCTACATTTGGTGTTGTGGAGGAGTCTCTGTATGAAGACAGTATTACTGAGAACACCTCGAAAATCCAAACTGATGAAAACAGTAATGATTCTATGGATTTATTGGTGGCAATGCCTGAATCTCAGCTACAAGTACATCAGTTGAAGAAAAGGGTTTTAATGAGGATCGACTCTGATACCACCACTGAAGAATCTCAAATACATACCAGTCAGTTAAAAAGAAGAACCAATAATAGGATCAGTTCTGATTCAAGCTCGACAAAGATTGACTCAGGTTCAGATACAGAAGAAGAAAATGAAAAAAAATCAACAAATATAGACTCAGGTTCAGATACGGACATTGAAGAGGCACCAATTAATAATACATCAAAAAATATAAACAACCCTATGGACGATTCTGACTTAATTCCAGCAACGCAAGATGTACGCAACGAGGAACCAGCAAAAATTTCTCAAAAATCTGAAACAGAAGAAAGCTTCAAACTTGGTCTATCAGAATTAATGCGGGAAGATGATGAAAAACCAAAATACACAATACATACTTCTCAAATTGCAACGACTTCAAAAGAATTGACAAAAACTGAGAAAGAACAACTAAGGATTAACGATAGTGCCGCTAGTGAAATGTCAATGGAAATGCTACATCTTTCTTCAAGCGAAAAAACGCAGGATGAAAAATCACCGGAAAAGAAGTTTTCCTTTAAAAAATTCACTCATAAAGTTGTGGAAACAAATCTATCAGTTTTGGAGAGGGAAAAGGAAGGAGGTAATAATGAAGATGATGGTATTTTTATGCTACCAACTCAAAAAATATTGGTTGAAAATCCTACTCAAGAAGAAGATGCTACTAAAGATGACCTTCTAGATGCACCTACACAAAAATTACCAACTGAAGAAACCGTATTTTGTATGCCCAAATCAAAGAATGATTCAATTAATGATGATTTAGATGCTCCAACTCAAAAATTACCCGATGAAGATATTTTCTTAATGCCAACACAACAACTCGATACAACACCTAAAAAAACATTAAATGAAGAAACTGATTACTGCATAACACCAAAATTACCGGAAGAAAATGAAGATGTGTTTTTGATGCCTACACAGAAACTAGAACACACTACACCTAAAGAAGAAATTTATATTCTAGACTGTCCTACTCAAAAATTACCGGAAGAAAATGAAGAAGTGTTTTTGATGCCAACACAGAAACTAGAACACACTACACCTAAAAAATGTTCTTTATCTAAAGAAGAAATTTATATTTTGGACTGTCCTACTCAAAAATTATGTGAGGAAGAAATCAATACTCTAGACTGTCCTACTCAAAAATTATCTGAGGAAGAAATCAATACTTTGGACTGTCCTACTCAAAAATTACCAGAGGAAGATATCTTACAATCGAAAAAAATAAATAAAACAAAAAAATCTTCTTTATCAAAAGAAGTAAGGGATATCTTAGACACTCCTACTCAAAAATTACCAGAAGAAAATAACGAAAAAATAGAATCACCTGCAAATACATCTGTGGAAAACAATAATGAAGATGAAGATGCTTTAAACTGTAGTACTCAGAAATTGCCGGAAGAAACTCCAACAAAAAGCAATACAACGTACTATGCCAACACTCAATCTCTTCTACAAGATTTGACGAATACTCCAAAAAGAAACAAAACGTTCTTTGATAATACCCAAAGTTTAATTAATGTATTGTCTGATAGTGTAGCGGATCCAGATGTGGAAACCCAGATGGAGGCAAATTTTCCCAGCCAAAATGTACGATTATTGCCGCAAGATGATAGTAGACCTAAAAATCCACTTTGCTCAATTATGGAAGATAATTCAGAAAAAAATTATGATAATGATAATGAAGACAAAGTTGAAGAAATAGTAGTGAAAAACAGTAGAAATTCAGGATCTTTGGGCTCTACAACATCTGAAAGGAGTAGAAAATCTTCAAATAAAAAAGAACTCGTTGCCAAAGAAAACCCACAAGATATAATCAAGGACAAAAACAAACGTACTTCGGGTAAAAGAGTGTCCAAACCAAACAAAAAATATTCAGAAGATTTTAGCACAGAAGATTACGACTCGGAAGCAAGTGTAAACTCTACAATGTCAAAGAAATCCGATAAAGAAGGATCTAAAAGAAAAAGATCTTATAAAGAAAGTGAAGAAAATGACTTACAAAACAGTGCAAAATTAGAGATGAGAAGTCGATCTTCAAGAAGAATAAATGTTGAAAAAGAAGAAACGGGTTCTTTAAATAAATTGGATTATTCAAATAGAATAAATAATTTTGAAAAAGAAGAAGAAAAAATATCTGAAAAAATCACAAAACCAAATAGTCGATCTTCAAAAAGAAATACTACAAAAGAAGAAAGTTGCTCCAAAAATGAAGAAAAATCTAAAAAGAGAATCTCAAAATCAAAATCCTCCAACGAAGATACTCAAGATGAAGAAGAAAAAATTGTACCTGAAAAAACAAAGAAAGTTAAAAGAGAAGAAACAAAAATCATTAAGGAAAGTAATTCTTTAAATAAAAAAACATCTAAATCAAATGAAGAAATTAAAAATAATCAAAATACAAGATCGTCAAGTAGAAATATTGAAAAAGAAGAAGAAAAAGAAGAAAAACCCAAAAAGAGGGTCTCAAAACCAAACCAAAAATACTCCAGTGAAGAATTCGATACTCAAGATGAGGAAGAAAAAATCCTGCCTGGAAAAACGAAGAATGACAAAAAAGAAGAAACAACCGGAGAACCGAAAATCGTAAAAACTGAAGAAATAACGTCTAGAAGAACAAGAAAAAATGATACGGAAGGAATTATGACGGAAACGCTGCATACACGTAAAGGAAGAAGCAGAAAATTAAGCACAGACTCAAATTTGGACGTACCTAAAAAGAAAACTAGAAGAATTAGTTGCGATGAAGACCTTGAAAAGAAAAGGGTTAATAGAAGATCAGCGCGACAAAAGATAAGTGAAGATAGTGAAATTTTAGATCAAATTAAAGAAACAGGAGAAACCAAAGGAAATTCGGATGAAGATTTAAAAGTATTTCAACCAATATTGAGAAAAATTGATGATTCTAAACTGAGCAGCAGTCATATTGATGTGCCCATGAGTGTGGTAGATCAAAGTTTTGCTTTGTTAGAATCAAAATCTTCAAAAACGCGTAAAACGAAGACTTTAAATCCTCGAATAGAGGCGGTCACGGTTATTGTGAAAAATAGAAGGAGTATGACAACTGGGGTAAAAGAAGAAAGTGATAAGGAAGAAGTCGCTATCAATAGCAGTAGTAAACGGGGTAAAACTTTGTTGCCACCTCCTGAAACAATGGTTAAAAGGAGTAGAAAACCTAGTAAAAAGGTTATGGATAGTGAAGAATCTTCTGGATCTGCATCAGTGGATGAAATGAATACTTCTATATCTTCTATAAAGTCTAGATCTAGTAGATCTAACTCTGTACTATCTACTCCTGAGGTAACATAGTTAATGATAAATTTGTGCAATAATATTAATTATTATAATTCTTAGAGGGCAAAAAGGAAGTTGAAACCAAAAGTGGTCTTCACAATGATGGAGAGTCCTGAGCTTGAAGCAATTATAAGAATGTTAGGAGGTAGTGTTGTAGATACAGTTGATTCCTCTACAGTTTTAATAACTGGAAGTGTAAAAAGATCGCAAAAACTACTTACAGCTATTGGACAAGGAAAACCAATTTGTTCGCCTCTTTGGATACAGGAATCCAAAAAGAAGGGAGAATTTCTTGGTAAAAATTATTGTGCAATGCTTGTTCTTTTTTTTTAATTAATTTTGGTTTTAGATCCATGGAATTTTATTCTGGAAGACCAAGAAGCTGAAGCTAAATGGGATTTCAAGCTAAAAGAGTCAATTACCAGAGGTTTAAATAACAAAATGTTAACAAACCATGTTTTCCAATTAATTGTTAGCAATGCCCAAGATGTTTTAAAAGGTATTTTTATACATTATATGTTTTAAACCATTATTATTATTATTTTATTGCAGGTGCAATTGAGGCATGTGGAGGAAAATGCGTATCCAGAGCTCCAGCCAAAAGCCAAGCAAATTTTATAGTTATTTCCATTCCAGAAAATAAAAGTAAATACACAACAATCTTAAAGAAAAATCCTGACATTTTAGTTTTGGAACCAGAATCTATTTTTGATGGTGTACTTAGACAGGAGTTAAGATTTAATAAACATGTATTAAAATAAGTTGATTTTTATTATGAACTAATAAATAATATATTTTTTATAATCTTTGAACAATTTAAAAATGTTATTTTATTATTATTAAATGTTAATAATGTAATAGCAATGGTTTTATTTCGAATACAAATTATTTGTTTCAAATCACCGTATTACTCGAGTTTGTGGGTTGCCTACAGACAAAACTACTTTCCTGCATAGATTAGTAAAGACCTTTCCTGTTAACATGATTCTGTTGCTAGGACACCAGTCAACACAAACAAAAGCAAAAATGGCACCAATGGAGGTAATTTGGTTGTTTCTTTGTTGTTTTTGTCAATTTTTATTTGCACGTCATTATTTTTAGGACAATAATATGGATAATAAGACAACAATAATATTCAACGCGTCCAAGCAGGAGTTGTTTAAGTTGCAAGATAATTACAAGATTTTTCAGAGGAAATTAAAGATTTATTGGAGAGTTTTACTGTGAGTTTTTAATAGTTGGTCATGAAAAGTATTGTTTTTGGTTTTTTTTTAGCAATAAAGAAGAAATAACAAGTCAATTGCTGCAAAATTGTTCTCTATTAATTTTGCCTGCACCTCAAATACCTTTTGAGGAAAATGAAATTAATGCTTTGAAATCTTACATTGAAAATGGTGGTCGACTTTTGGTGCTATTATCTGAAAATAACGCAAATGATACAAGTAATATTAATATTTTATTGGAGGAGTATGGAATTATACCAAACTTGGGTAAAAAAATTAACCAAAACAAATAAAATCAATAAACATATCAACGTTTTTGTTTAAGATTCTTTAATAAGGACCCATTATTTCAAATATTTCCATCCCAAAGAATGTTATATAGGAGATAGTCATATAAATCCTTCTATACTTAAGGATGGCTCAACTTTAACACTGGTGTACCCTTTTGGATGTACCCTCAGTATAAATAAACCGGCTGTAGTTGCCTTTACAAGTGGGTCAGCATCTTTTCCAGTGGATAGACCCTTGGGTGCCTTATATTTTAACGAAAATACAGGTAAAAATTTAAAAATAGAGAAGTTTGTAATATACCTAGTTTTATTACAATTTCCATATTAAATAGATTTGTTACGATTTTTTTTCAATTTAGCAAAATTATTTTTAATATTTTTTAAGGTGGTAGACTTGCTGCCATTGGTTCAGGATACATGTTTGCCGATAAATACATTGACCAAGAAAACAATGAAAAATTTAGAGAAATCATTTTTGATTTTTTAAGCGAAAACAAACCCATAACTTTCGTACCTACGGATCACGATGATTTAGATGTAAGTTAAGGCACCCTAAGAGTGTGCATTCTGGTCTGCATACACTTGGGCTATACAACCTTACATTTTTTGTATTTTTTGTTTGTTTTAAGATACTGGATCATCATGTAGTGCCAGAAACTGGCCAACTGGCAGAAAAACCTAAACTATGTTTAACCGACGCAATTAGTCACAGCACATTTATAGACTATACAAAACTTTTTGATTATAAAATGTATTCTATGAACACAAATCATGGTAGGAATTTTTTTGAGCTCATTTGAAGGATATTTCATTAATTGTTTTTTTAGTTCCCGAGGCTCTAAAATTATACGAGGCCCTAAAAGTAAAACATCAACCATTAAAAATAATCACCCCCAAATTCGAGGCGCCTTTACCACCACTACAAGCTGCAGTAAGTCAAAAGTACAAGCGCACTCAAGTCAGACTTACTAATTAGGTGGTATTTTTTAGGTTTTTCCCCCTGCTTTTAGAGAGCTACCTCCTCCCCCTTTGGAGCTATTCGACCTTGACGACGCATTTAGTTCTATTTTCTCAAAACTGGCTCAATTCACAAATAAATATTTGCTAAGGGGCGCTTCTCAGGAAGAACCCACCGAAAAAGAGTTACATTTCTACATTTCCGAATGCGCGAAAATCGTCAAAGTAGACGAAGAATTTAAAGAGCCAAAAGATATTTTGCATGGTATTGGTTCACAGATTGCTAAGTTTAAAAGTATTGATACAATTAAATAAAACATTTTTTATGAGAATTTGTTTTTATGTAATACTGTCAAATATACTTACACCTTTCTAGTTTGTTACTCCGTTAAAAAAAATAAATGATTCAAAAAATGTTCTCCATAAAATTAATAATTTTTTAAAGCCCTTATTCTTACTGTAAATTTTGCATTTCTAGACGAACATAGGTTTGTAGGTAGGTACTCTCACGTGAGAGTACCTACTTTCACTCACAGAACACAAACCAACATTAATATAATATTATGTATTTACAAATTTTAAGATCTTTTTTCTCAAAATTATTTATCTTATCAATATAGAATTCAAATATAATATAATTTTACATTAGTTTTACCTAGGTCCGTATACGTTTCTATAGATACATTAATAAATTATACTAATTATTTGCTTAAATGCAATATACGAAACCACTTAATTCTACTTTAAATTTTTTGGCACAAAGCACACGATTTTCATTAGGCATTCATCGGAAAGCCTTTATGTACAGATACCATCCAGTAACTTGTAGATATCTATTACACATTCAATTGTCATCTTTTAAATACAATCAAATTCTCATGAACATCGGTGAGCAATGCAATAGCATAGAACATAGACATAAAACAAGTGCAAAGAATAAGAAAAGACAATAATAAATTTAGTATTTTTCTCAATGGAAGCTAAGGAAAGGTTATAACCTACCCTTTTGAAAATGACGGATAATTGCGGATATAAATTCTTTGTCAAAACCGGATAAAAGCAGATGATTGCGGAAATAAATTGTTCGTCAAAACCATATAAAAGCGGGTAAAAATATGATCTGATAACATCTGCTTTTGTCCGCATCGCTAACCATATTGGTTGTTTTATGTCCGGTTAGTGCACCCCCGCAATCGTCTTTTTTAACCATCTCTACTGCATTTAACCGGGATCATCTGCAAACGTCTGGTTTTATCCGCAATTATCTGGATTTTTTATCTATTTTCGTCTGGTTTCATCTGCAAATACCCGTTTTAACTGCAATTGCCTTCATTTCGTTGGCCCATTTTTGTCAGTTTTCATCCGCAAACGTCTGGTTTTATCCGCGCTTACCTGTATTTCTTTAATCTGTTTTTATCCTGTTTCATCTGCTTTTATCCGCGAACATCTGATTTTACCTGCAAACTTCTGCCTTGTCCAATTTCACCCAAAAACATCTGCTTTTATCCGCGAACGCCTGATTTCATCCGGTTAGTGCACCCTCACAATCATCCGCAATCATCAGCTTTTCACCGGCTCTTCTGCGTTTCATTTATATCTGCATTTGCCTGATAACGTCTGGTTACGTCTGATTTTATCCGCGATTACCTGCATTTTTTCTTTTTTTCCGCAAAGTCTGCTTTCATCTGCGATTACCTGCATTTCGGTCAAATATTTTTGTCAAGTTTCATCCGCAAACATCTGATTTTATCAGCGAGTGTCTGCTTTTACTCGCTTGTAGAATTTCACCTTCAAACATCTGCTTTTATCCGCGAACATTTGCTTTCATCTGCAAACGTCTGATTGTATCCGGTTTTACCCGCAAACATCTGGTTTTATCCGCGAACATATGCTTTTTATCCGCGAACGTTTAGTTTCACTTACAAACATATGCTTTTATCCGCGACCGCCTAATTTTATCCGGTTAGTGTACCCTGAAATCATCCCCAATCATCTGCATTTGACCGGCTCTACTGTGTTTCGTTTATATCTGCCAGGCAGATATAAACGAAACACAGATTCTGCCTACGTCTGCTTACATTTCGTTGGTCTATTTTTGTCGGGTTTTATCCGCAAACATCTGGTTTTATCCGTGCTTATCTGTATTTTGTTAATCTGTTTTTATCTTGCTTTATCTGAAAACATCTGCTTTTATCCGCGAACATCTGCTTTTCCTGCAAATGTCTGCCTTGTTTAATTTTACCCGTAAACGTCTGCTTTTATCCGAAAACATCTGCGTTTTCCTGCGAACATCTGCTTTCATCCTCGAACGTCTGATTTAATCCGATTTACCCGTAAACATCTCCTTTTATCCGGGAACATATGTTACCCGCGAACGTCTGGTTTCACCTGCAAACATGCTTTTACCCGCAAACATCTGGTTTCACCAGCAAACATGCATTTTTTATCTATTTTCGTCTGGTTTCATCTGCAAATATCCGCTTTTAACTGCGATTGCCTCCATTTTTTTCGTCCATTTTTGTCAGGTTTCATCCGCAAACGTCTGGTTTTATCCGCGCTTACCTGTATTTCTTTAATCTGTTTTCATCCTGTATCATCTGCTTTATTCCGCAAACATCTGCTTTTACCCGCACACGTCTGCCTTGTCCATTTTCACCCGCAAACACCTGCTTCTATCCGCGAAATTCTGCTTTTATCCGTTTAGTGCACCCCCATAATCATCCGCAATCATCTGCTTTTGACCGGCTCTTCTGCTTTTTATTTATATCTGCATTAATAATAATAATAATAAATTTATTGTCATCAAAAGGTATTACATGACATGTCAAAAAATCACAAATATATAATAAACAGGTAAGTAAAATATTCATACAAAAAACCATTTTCAAGCTAATTACTCAATTAAAAACAAAAGAAATCATTTACATTGTATAGGCACATATTGACTAGCATATCTTTAACAGTCTAAACGGCTGGAGTTAGTTAAATCTCAGTAAAATTTGACTCAGCAGGTAAATTAAACCTAAGTATACGCAAGAAGACGTAAGTAAAACGAAAAGCGCGAATGAAACAAGACCAGAACCAGAAATGGACGAAAGAAATGCAGGCCATCGGGGCTAAAACCGAAACTTGGCATATTTGCGGGTGAAAGCAGATGTTTTCGGATAAAACAGACGTTCACGAAAAAAAAATCAGATGATTGCGGATTAAAGCAGATGTTTCCTGAATAAAGCAGATCTTTGCGAATAAAAACAAATGTTTGCAGGTAAAATCGGATAAAGCAGACTTTTC